TTCTGTGAGCTATAAACTGAATTTTCTTAAACACATTTAGATGAACTGTATTTCAATTAAAAGGAAAGAATATTTGTTTCAAGTTGGCATGCCTAAGACTCCAAATGTGCTTTAGCAATGACAACTGCAGATTTTCCCATAGAATGTTGGCTCTTTGTTTCATATGATTCCAGCTATAAATAACGATTATTTCATTGAAAACGATTTACAAATCCATGTTTATAACTGAGACATTGTGTTTCTTATGAGGTAGGAACTGACATGCACACGCTCGACTAAAGTCTGAGGCATGAAATGTCAATATCTGCTAAATACTAGGATCATATTCGTGTTGTCAGCGACAGGGCTGATCCCCCGGCTGCCTATAAGATTATGCTTTTGTTTATTAATATTCAATCGACACAATTCTGGGTTAAACACACCATACGTTTGCATGTACTACATGTTTCGGCATATTCAGTCTATCATCAAGTATATAACAATAAACATTAGCATACACACAATATGACGCTACAGTATAACATGTGTAATTTTAGAATTAATTTCTGAATGGGAACAGGCGACTTCCTTTAGGACTGTTGAGAGTGCTCTGTGGAGAGGGAGCAAACCCCAGAATACGAGCTCCATGTGTAACATTTCGAGATCTCGTTTCGCAGATCGATATCTCGAGAGATATGTCGTTACGTGGTCCGCGGTATAGGGACAAGTGTCTCGAGGAAAATCTTCTGCCTCTGTGTTCAGGGTACAATAAGGAACGCCAAAGAAGACAAGAATATAGCGTTTGTGAAGTTACTAAAGAAACTTGCAGCTGCGAGCGAGCCAATGGGAGAAGGGGCTAACGGATTCAGGTAAAGAATGCGAGGAAAACGCCTTGAAGAAGAAAGGACGTAAGAAAGAATTTCTCGAGGGGGAATTGCAAGAGGGGGGGGTGCTAGATGTGATGAGTCTTAGGGGCAAGGTTTGCCCTTGTCCCTTGGAGAGATTGCCCCGTAATTTGTAGCAATAGTAGTAGTAGTAGTAGTAGTAATAGTGATATTAGCTAACTTACTAACTAGAGCAGATCTCTTCTTGAGAAGCTGATACTTACTAGTTAAGAACCTTGCAATATTTTATGGAATCCTTTAATTAAGGTGCTCAGAAGGACCCGCCATTGGTCCCTATTCTGAGCCAAATAAATCGACATCCTCCCATACTAATTCTTTAACAACTATTTTAATATTATCCTACTGCTTACAAATAAAATTTCCAAGTTGTCTTCAATCATCATTTTTCCATGAATATTTCGTACCCGCTTGCATTCTTTCCCATACATTCTACACGTCCACACCATCTCCTCCGCCATGATTTGATGGTGCTTATCGCATTTGGCGAGGTGGACAAGTTATGAAGCTCACCGTTACACATTTTTATCAAGGTTCCCTTCACGTCCTCCCTCTTAAGTCCAGATAGTTTCCTTAGCACCCTGTTTCAAACTATTGCCACTACTGCTGCTAGCAACAACAGTAGGATATTGATGAAGTGACAACAGATGCAGATAGCAATCAGCTAGCGTAAGATAAGCTCAGGTAAAATTATCTCTGCGCTTAACTAATTAAGCACTAAGCCATGAAGGCGTATGAGGGAGTGGATGTATAGATCCACTTTTTATTGGCCTCGGCACCAGTTGGAGGTGAGTTGTCAGCTTCACGCCCCGGCCGCCTTACCACCGGTGAAAGAACCCTAGGTACCTACCGGAGAGGAAGTTGGGTGAGCCCCAGAGTGGGTTTAATCAGCCTACGTACGACAACAAAACAGCAACGGGTCGATGTAACTAGACGCTGACTCACAAACTGTTTCCTCACTTTCAGGTCCCATGCCGCTGATGTCGGGTCCGCCAGAACTAACGACAATTGCCGCCAGCTATGCTGCAGCTATGGGGCACCACACAGTGCTGTTTCCAGGGGCCCCCGGAGGGATGCCGGCGAGGGATCCCCACTGTCCCCTACTGCCCCATGGTAGGCATCACTGGACCACACCAGTAACCACGAGAAGCGACCACGGTGAGCAGCCATTTTGTTCTGTTTTAACATTCGTCTGTGTTGTTTGGATATAAATGCATGTTTCGCATGCTGAAACTGTTGAAAGGATTTCGCTAATATTCGGTACCACTGGTGTGTCTCACATTTTTTTCAGTTCATGTGGTTCTACATTACATGAAAATGAATATTCAGCTTCTTGCAGTCGCGACTCTAGGTTATGACGCCGTGAGATTTGGTCAATAGTTATGCCCAACTTCCGCTTTCCATTCTTAGGATTGAAGAGCCTCTGTTCTGCTCTGAAGACGGAGGAAACATGAACTTTCTAACAAAATTCACGGTGTTATGTACCAAAAATCATTTATATTTGTAACTCATTTAAGCCTTTAAAGCTTCATATCACAGTGTTACTATGTTCATCAGTAGATTTGTGCACAGTTCTCATCAGCCTGCTTTTATGGGCTGCTTATGATTATCCGAATAACCAGCGATTACTTCCTATTATAGTAACCCTTTTAACCAAATGAATTACGCAATGGAGACGCAGTGTTTCCTGTGAGGTACTAATTACATGTTTATATATTACTCAGATGTATTTCATGCTTCGAAAGTAAAGAAGTTCACGGTAGAAGAGCGTGGTGAATACATAATATAAAATATAGGCTATCTGTCGTTATGATCTACAACCTTAAGTGTTTTTCGATACAGTGCATTCTACATTTAAAGAAAGTCGTTGGAAGAACCATTTCTGGCTCTCTGCAATGTGACAGGTTTAACCAGCTGTACAACAGTAGATTTGGAAATATAACAAATGAACGGTAAGTCATATGTTTTAATTATCACCATGAGAAAATCATAATTCCAAAATATCATTTCCTGAGATTGTGGAACAGTCAAATTTTCCCGCGCAAAGTGGACAGAGGGAGCCACCGGAAGGGGCAGAAGCAAAATGGCTACGTCAGTTGACACCAGTTCGGAAACAGCAACGGATGGGTGTGGCAAAGAAAATTTGTAGTTTTGTCAAAACGAAAAGGTGGAATTTTCGACCACCCGATCGCGATGGATGAATGTGGGGTCTATCATTATGACCCTGAAACGAAGGAAATGAGCAGCAGTGGAAACATGCAGACTGGCCAACACCAAAGAAGGCCAAATCCCAGCCGTTGTCAGGAAAATTGTTGTTGAGTGTGTTCAGGGTGTCATCATGACCGACTGTGGGCAAAAGGCCGTCGCCATCACTGGCGAATACTACCGGAACCTTCTGAGAAAATTACAGGAGGAAATCAAGAAAAAGCGGCGTGGAATGCTGGTAAAAGGTGTGCAAATCTTCACGACAACGCACCGGCTCGTGCTATGACGACACTTGCTGCCAGTTTGGGATATGAAATTCTCCCCCATCCACCATATTCACCAGACCTGGCATCGAGCGACTTCTTCCTCTTTCCATGGCTAAAGAAGCCACTTCATGGTAAGCGATTCCAAGACGATGATGACGTCATTTATGCAGCGGAGGACTTCCTAAACTGTCAAAATGAGAACTTCTATGATCAAGGTATCCAGCAGCTACTGCATCGTTGGAGAAAATGTGTGGCCTTGCAGGGGGCATATGTAGAGAAGGGCGAACTCACATACAATTTCTTGCATCTGTGTTTCTGTTTCTTCTGGGTGATAATTACAATTTTATGACTTCTCCTTACGACCACGTAAGCTAAAATCACAAAGGACTCGTCTGCGAAACATTGCCACTTCTGTTTCATGTTTAATGCAATTAATTTTTTTGAATGACATGTAACATTTCATAATATCCACTTTAGAATCGGTTTGATGTATAGAAGTGCACATTTTTATTTAGGAATTACAAAAATGCTACAGAAAGTCACGTATCTGAAACACAGCCACGATGCATGATGAAGCCGGTTGCAGTACAGAACAATAAGGTTTCATAACGGTGCAACGATATGGTACATAAGGACATTCGTCTGATGTCGCCACTTCCTTGTGCGTGTTCTTTCTGGAAAGAAAAACTGTCCGATTTCCATTTTATTTAATATTGTTGCATGTATACTTGTTGCTGGGCAACGACAGCAAAATAAGTAGCTCTACAATGGCTGTAACTAAGCAGCGGCCGGTAGTCAGCAACAGAGGAACGGCTTTTTCTATGCGGTCCGTGCCGAGATATTATAAGCAGGAAAATTGAGCAGTCAGTAAATTATTTAGTTAGAGGACTGCAGCGGTTCAGTTGTTGTGAGAAGCTGGTAGCCGAGGCTGGAGGGAGGTATGGAACGCGGAAAAACGGGAACGTCCGCTGTTGGAAGCCGAAACCAAGCAAGGGCTAGTGAAGAATAAGAAGACTTTATTTGTGACTATGTATGTATGTATATGTATGTAGCTATATTACCACCGATGGGCCCATGTCCAGTCTGCCCTGATGTCAAGCACTTATCTGGGTCACAAGACCAGGCTTTGTTACTGCCAGACAGCTGCGGATTTGTTGATGTGGGGCGCCCTCTCTGAGGAGAGGACGGGTCTGCAGTTAACAATTACTGCTGGCCTTCGCCAACGCTGACATTCTGGAGTCTGAGTCCTGCGGGACACGTGACCATGTTTTACACTTTCAGGTGTGAGACTCCCCCAACCTGGAGGGCCAAATATCCGAATTTATATCCCCCAGGATCAGGGTGGCCCAGTTATACCCCCAGACACTAGATTACCTTTTCGTCGCCTTCTTCGACTCGCAGCGTTACGGTGGCGCTATTTGAACCTTCCCCACACGGTGATTTACTCAACTCCTGACTTGTCCTGCTTATAACATTTAGACAAGGACCGCACAGAAAATACCATTCCTCTGTTGCTCTTTACTGGTCGCTGCCTAGTAACGGTCGTTGTATATTGCTTATTTCACGGTCTTTGCCTCGCAACTGGTCTACATGATACAATATGAAAAGCATATAACTGAAGATAAAACAACTTCGTAGTAATAACATGAATGCAACAATACTGTTCCAACATGGCGGTCGTATATATTTCTGTTAAGAAACCAACAATATCAGCAATCAGTACATAACCTACAAAGCATTTTTGCTCATAAAAATGTATTTTTAGAACGGGGAAGAACAAAACTGTTTTTGCGCTGTTTTCTCCTTCTACAGATAAATCTACTAGAATTTGTCCGCTCGGGATGTGAAGGCAGCTATGAAAGCTAATCATATTGACTTAATTGCAAGTTGACTTCATATCTACAGAAATATGGAACGTTTAACGGGCACGGTATTTCTGTAACGGGCCTTGGAGGCCCATAGGATTGTGAGACTTCGAGGCTCCCACATTTTCTCTAGACTGTGGGCTCACAGATGGCAGTGAGGTCGTTAGCCTTAAGCGCCGGCCGCCCTTTACCCCCAAGAAGATTCCTGGTACTCATTTCTGTTAGAGTCTGAGTCGACCCAAGAGCCACAGTGCAGCTGGAAGTGTTAGGTCAATTGAAAAATCCAGTGATTTCATCGGGAATCAAACGCGCGACCTTCCGGCTTGTAGCATAGTGTCTTAACCAACTACGCTACATCGTTCCCCTGAAATGTTTAAGAAATATGACAATTATACAAATATCTGCTGTTATTTCTGAAAAGGTTAACTCTACATAAGTTTAGTAGATGAAATCGTTAATTTCTATAAGAATTAATTTACAATTTGTGCTTCCTTATTCGTTGCTAAGTTCTCTCAGTAACTAATAATAATTGTTACTCTGCAAATGAAATAGATTTTAAGTTGAACACTTCTTACTTGTGCGGCAAATATCAAGTAAGTAATTAAAATATTGCTTGTTATTTTATTTTCTTATCATACGTGTTTTCGAGGTTGCGTCATCATGAAACAATTAATAGATTCTTACGTAATCACTATATAATTACTGGATTCTGTTTTGAACAAAAGATAGAAAGGAGAGTAGCCATACACTCAGTGTAGTTGAATAGAAAGGACCTTTCTTCCGTAAGGTTGCCTCGTGATGATATGGTATACGCTCATAGAAGTGTTAGAGTTTATATCTGAGAATACAGGAAAGTCTAACCAAAATCCGGAGTAGAGAAATACTGAATTCTGGGATGTAATGACATGTAGTCCAGTAGAAATTCACAGACGTTTCGGAGGAACATACTCTTTTCAGTATGATTGAGAGCCGTCAACGCAACAACTGAACGACCGCAGCTTGTCGGCGAAGTTAGTGCCAACTTTAGCGGATAGAGGGTGCCGCGTGGTCAGCTCAACGAATCCCCACCGCCGTTAATTTCGGTTTTCTAGACCGGAGCCGCTATTTCCTTGAAATAGCTCCTCAAATATCCTCACGAGGCTGAGTGAACTCCGTTCCAGACACATTATTTCTCAGAAAATATGGTAGCGCCGGGAATTGAGCCGGACCTCTGGATCTGTAACCAGGAACTCTGACCACTAGACCACAGAGGCGGTCACAATTGATCATAAACCGATATTAAAATATTTAATATTCAGTTATTTTTATTTATATCCAGCTACATGTGTCGATCTGCATTAATATATGACATACAACTGGATTTAAGAACTAAAAATATCCTCTCCCGCTGAGTTACGACGGTTTCTAGCAGACACTTCCCCGTACAGGTTGGTCGGTGTTTGTGCTCTCTAGTAGGAAAGGAATTGTGTCATGATATTTTAAACATATTTATTTTGGGGGGGAGGAGGTTATTTCTAGAGGCCCTCAGTATCTGGACCATATGGTGTCAGATTGACATGCGACTGATAGATTGGAAAGGATTTGGAAGAAAGCGGTGCTGGCCTAATCGAGATATTACTGCCATAGTCAAGACTTGTACGTTCGTGGATTGGCCGCAAAGCGTCGTTGCAGTGAACTATAGTGGACAAGTTGAGGCATCATATGAACTGACAGTTCATCTCTCGTCACAGCAAAAGGCAGTTGTGTGCAAACAGTATAAGTAGAACTACGACCTCTTTGTGAACTGCAGTTAAATGGAAGTGGCGGAAATCGAAAATGTGGCAGTTTGAACAATGGGCAAACATCAAGTTCTGCCAAAAACTGGGAAAATCCCCTAGCGAAACGTTTGGTGTAGGAAGAACTGGCTGTTGCTACACGACAACGCCTCTGCACATCGCTCTGTTCTTGTCCAAGAGGAACTGGCAATGCAACAGGTCACCGTTTTGCCACACCCTCCGTACTCACCTGATCTCGCACCGTGCGATTTCTCTCTCTTTCACCGCGTGAAAGCAAAGCTACGTGGTCTTAGATTTCAGTCGTCCGATGAGGTCGTCATTGCCACAAGAGACGCCGTACGGGAATTTCCTGCCAATATGTTTCAGCAATGTTTTCGGCAGCTATATTAACGTTGGCAGACGTGCATAGCGGCCAACGGCAACTATTTTGAAGGCCGATGTGGATCTGTGTAATGTGAATACCTTGCAATTCATTCATTCGTCAGTAATCTGTCAGACGACAGGTCCACAGTCTCTTCTAAAACAATTCCTCCATTTAATGCGATCTAGAGCTTTCTCCTTCAAACGAGAATATCCTCTTCTGTCCCCAAGGTCATCCAGCATCTTCTTACTTCTTCTTCCTCGTCTTCTGGTCACATCTACCCGCCCCTCTATCTTTCCTTCAATAATTTCTTTTAGAAGGCAGTTACTGCGTAAGATATGACCAATCCAATTAGCCTTCCGTTTTCTTATTTCATGTAGGATATTCCTCTGCGCACTGACTCTAAATAACACTTCTTCATTTCTCACATAATCGGTCCAACTGATCTTCTCCATCCTTCTCCAACACCACATTTCGAAGCTTTCCAGGTGTTTCTGATCTACTGCCCTAAGTGTCCAAGTTCCATCCCTATACAAAGCCATGCTCAAAATGTAGAATTTCACTAAGTTTCTTTCCCAAATTTAAGTCCAACCTTGTAATATGATGCAATAAAACCACAGTCCACGAACTTAATGACTGTACCACGTATATCTCTATTTGCTTGGAGAAATTGACGAAAACCACAAACTCCATTAAACGTCGATGTTTAGGTCGAGATTCGAACTGATAACTTCCCTAAAAAGAGTGAAACCGTTAGAGTTAGACTAACCCGCACGGTTCCCACACATTTCGCAGTAGTTTCAGAAGCGTCTTAATAGCAGAGGATACCTCTGAAGTCCAGTTTTTTAATCTTATCTGCTTGTGTTGCTGTTTCTTTGTTAAGCCTCTGCTGCTGCTGCTGCCTCGATAACTTTCACCTTCTCTTACTCGTTACGTAACGAGATTATTTAGAATGTCCACTTTCAATCGTAACCCTTTTTGCGCCACGTACCGATTTGATCGGCTCGGGCCACAGCCGAAGATACCGGCTCGTTGGTAATGAATTAGTAGAGCATTTCTGCCCAAAGAGGGCATCAATCTGTATTTGAATATCTCCTGGAATTCATCATCCTGTACTTCTGATAGAGCCCGACGTTTCGGAGAAACATATCGTCTCCATCTGCAGGAATAAAGAGTAAGCCAAACAAAAAAACAGCAGAAGCAAGCGGAAACCG